TGTGCTCAAGGCTAGCACTCTGCAACTTGAGCCTCAGTGCCACCTCTTGCTTTTTTGGAATAGTTTATTGGAGATATGCGTCTCATGGACTTTCCTGCCCAAGTTGGCTTTGAACTGTGATCCTCAGATCTCTGTCTTCTGAGTAGCTAGGATTACAGGCTTGTGATTTTTTTTTTAAACAGCTTCACAGAGCCTGGAGGGTAGCATTGTCTTCCCCTGCATGTGTATTTTTTTCTAGGGCTTTGGAAAAACAAGGGCCTGCTAACCAAGAAGGACCCAGAGACTGCTCAGTATGTTTGTGTGGGTCATTGAGTAGAACAGGTTATAGGACCACTCTGTTGGATTGGATAATCTTGTCATTATCACTGTGTGGTAACTATAGCGAGCAAAACTACAGAAACAGAATGAAGACAGAGGTAGGCCACATGTTCCTCCAGATTTTAGTTAACTATGGGCCCAAATAAGGAGTCCATGCTGTTCAGTAAAAGCAGTTTCAATAGCTGTTTCAGGCCCATAGTAAACAGAAGGATTCTTAGAAGTAGAATTGGAAGCAGAACAGGCAACGAGAGTGATGTGGAGTGAGGACTTGCCTGGCTATTGATAGTTCTGAAGATGGAGGAAGAGGCTGCAGCCAAGGCGCTAGAGAGGGCCAGGAGACAGGGGTCCCTGGAACTTCTAGAAGGAACACACTCTGCAGATAGGGCAGGGTTGAGTTTAGCCTAGTGAGACTCAATTTTACACTTCGGATCTGCAGAACTCTTAAGATAAGATTGTGTTGTATTTAAGCCAGTAAGTTGGCAATTGTTTGTTATAGTAGCATCTAGTCACACAGCAACAAACCCAGACCCCTCGTATAGAGGCTCCCTCCTTTCTCACCCTACTCTATTTGTGTTCTGCCTTTGGCTGTTGTGCTCCTCTGGGATGAGGCAGAAGGTAGAAAGTACATCTCTTCCTAACCTTGCCTGTGATAGAACTTTCAGTGGACTGTCTTTTGTTACCTCCTCGTGTGTGTGTGTGTGTGTGTGTGTGTGTGTGTGTGTGTGTGTGTGTGTGTGTGTGTGTGTGTGTGTGTGTGTGTGTGTGTGTGTGTGTGTGTGTGTGTGTGTGTGTGTGTGTGTGTGTGTGTGTGTGTGTGTGTTTCTCCAATCCTAGCCTTGAACTCAGGGCCTGGGTGCTGTACCTAAGCTTCTTTTGCTCAAGGCTTGCACTCTACCGCTTGAGCCACAGCCCCACTTTTGGCTTTTTCTGTTTATATGATACTGAGGAATCAAACCTAGGCCTTCATGCATGCTAGGCAAGCACTTTACTACTAAGCTACATTCCCAGCCTGACCTCCTCATTTTTTAAGTCCTAGTCAAGAATCTGTGTAAGTATTAAGTATTGCCTTGCTAACGTGACATTTTATATACCGCAGGTATCAACTAGCTATGATAGCCCACTCACCCCTACTCTGATTTTCAGGTTTCCCAGCTGAAAAACAAGGGAGTCTTGAAAGGGACATTTCACCTTGTCACTGGCCAAGGGCCAGTCTGTAGTCCTGGGAGCTAAGAATCGGTTTTATTTTGGTATTTTAGTGGGAGGGGTATTGAACTCAGTGCCTTATACTTATTAGGCAAGCACTCTACCACTTGAGCCGTGACCTCAGCTGGTTTTTCCAGTTTTAGAGGATTGTTTGTGGTGAGGAAGAATGTGTCAGGCCTCCTACAGCTGACCAAGTACTGAGATCCTAGAGCAGCCCGAAAGAGATAGAGGTGGTCTGCTAGGCAAACAAATTTAGCCTGGAAAGTTCTTCCTTCTAAATGGATGAGAAGGAAAGAAAAGGAAGTGTTTGAATAGAGGTCAAGTTGATATTGTGCTTCAGTTGTTACTAAATGACAATGGTTGGTACGAGGGTATGTGTTTTACTGTCAGGTTAAGTGTATATGACAGTGCATACTTAGCTTCAGTTTATTTTCCCTAAAGGAATATACAGACCCATAAGAAAGAAAAAGGTCACAGTTAAGCTGTTGATGTTTGTTGTAGCAGCATCTTGGCAAATATCAGAATTTGCTGTGGTGCCCAGAGGCAAGATTTCTTTCTAGGTAATTGTTTTGTGCTTCACTTGGAGAATTTTGAAGACAGACAAGATTCAAAGTCCCATTTCTAGAGGGAAATGTAGATCCTAGCACGAGTTCATTCAGTGAGGACACAGTGCTATGTTCTGTTACCATCTTAGAGGGTTTTCATTTGTTGGGCATAGTTACCATTGGAAGTGTGTGGAGTCATCCAGTAACAGGTTGTAAAGCACTTCAAAGGAGTGACTGGGAACTGCTCAGTCACACTGGAGAGGCAGTTTTTTTTTTTTTTTTAAATCAGAACCCTTTTATGTAATCCCATTATTCTCCTTCTCCCCATTTTTCTCCTAGAGAAAAGTGGGAAAACAGAAATTAATAAAAATGATAGAGTAACTTGCAAACTGTTTCCAAGCAGATGGAAGGTACTATGTACTGTCATACTGCCTTGCCGGTTGAAATGTCACTTTCCCTGTGTAAAATCAAGGAGGAATTTCCCCAGGGAGTAAGTGACTTCTCAGACATGCTGATTAAGTGCCTTGTGACGTAATGTAGTGGTATTTAGTTCTGAAGCTCATCATGGTTTATTTTTTTAGTGGCTATCATATTTTTCTTGAATTGACATTTCATTTTGTTTCATAATCCCTAGAGATTAGCTCATACAGAAGTCTCCTGGAGGAGCTCCAGGGGCACATTCAGTTAGCAAGGTACTTATCCATAGTCCTCTGGACATCCCTGGCCAACCTTGATTTGAGGAGCACCGCCTTGCTAGCAGGAGGAGAGGGCACATCCGTGGTGTAGTACTCCTTCTCAGAGGTTGGGGGATTGTCCTATGTCCTGCCCCAAGACATCCTCACCGTAGCTACAGCTTCTCAGCCTAACTTTCCTCCTGAGTAAACCAATCTTATCTTTTCACTAGACTATGAACCATAGTCAGCTTAAAAATGTCCAGTGATGGCATTAAAATATTAAAAAGATGCTAGCGGTGGTTCATGCCTATAATCCTAACAGCTCAGCAGGCTGAGATCTAACAGCTCAGCAGGCTGAGATCTGAGGGTCACGGTTCAAAATCAGCCCAGGCAGAAAAGTCCCTGCAAGATTCTTATCTCCAATTAACCACTCAAAAACTGGAAGTGGAGCTGTAGCTCAAACTGGTAGAGTGCTAGCCTAGAGCAAAAGAGCTCAGGGACAGTGCCCGGGCCCTGAGTTCAAGCTCCACAATGCCCTCCCCCCCAAAAAAAAAAGGCAAGTGAAGTTAGTCTAATACTGTATTTATCTGACCCCAGTGTTACCTATGTTATTACCACATTACCATGTAACCAGTTTAAAAATTGTTGAAATATTTTATTCTTTTTTTTTAATCCCACCTTTGAGAAGTATATACTTTGACACTTTTCACTGAACAGCACATCTCCATTCATACACCAGATTTTCAATGGAAGTACTCGATGTTTAGTATTTAGCTCTCGCAAAACTTAACCATTGAAAAAAGTGAGTCTCAGGGAACCCCACGCAGGGAAGGGGAAGAAATTGAGTCTCATACAATCACATTATTTCAAACATACTTAAAAGTTTTCTAATACATAAGTGTCAATTTAAAATTTAGGTGAAAAGCACGCAGGCTTAATTCTTCATTGTACAAGGACCACCTGTGGCTCTTGGCATCCAGCTAACTGGATAGCACAGCTATGGACATGCGCCTCAACGTAGGACCACCCAGGTTAAAGCTGCTTTGATTGGATACATGTCTCCTTCTGAGTATCCTTAAGGTCATGTGTCAGAGTTGGCCACATAGCTAGGAGACAGGTATGAGTGTGTGTGTGCTCACGTGTGCATGTTTGAATGAGGTTTGAACTCTCCTTCTTGCTTGACTTTTTTGCTCTGGGCTGGCCCGCTACCACTTGAGCCACATCTCCACTTTCTGGCTTTTACTGATTAATTGGAGATAAGAGTCTCACAGATTTGTCTCTCCAGCTGGCTTTGAATTTCAGATCCCAGCCTCCTGAGTAGTTGGAGCTACTCTTGGAGTGGTGTGTGACATATTGATAGCCCTGTGTTGTTGTAAATATCTCAGAGTATTTGTGCATAGATGGGCTTTGGCCCTTTTCTGCCAAATTGTGTCAGAGCAGTCATTGCCCTGTTGGCTGGTCGGTCACCAATACTAGATTTGGGGCACCATAAAGGTCAAAATTGGTATTTTGTTTTGATTTGCTTTCCTTAGAGTGAGGTTGAATTTTTCCATGTAGTTATTATCTGTGTACATTTCCTTTTTTGTGATTTGCCCATTTTAACCATTTTCTTTTTCTTAGTGATTTGTATGAGTTCTTTGTGTATTGTAGATTCATATTCACTTAACAAGCATTTGTTCAGTCTTTTGCTGTATGCCCAGGCTCTACTTGAAGTGCTAGGGTACCAGTAAGAAACACGGTCTTTAATTATTCATGGGACTGACATTCTGAAGAGGTAGTTAGGCCAAGGAAAACCTAAGCAAATGAATAAGATTATGTATATCTTACTGAGTTAGAAGTAACATAGTGGTAAGGAAGGTTCCTCTATAGCCCCCTCCTCTGGGACTTTGCTGCTAGGTAGTTGGGCTGGGCAGGCAGGAGTTGAGATGAGCCAGCCATGTCCATAAAGTAGAAAGCAAGAGCCTTGACCCTGAGGTAGGTCTGGTGTTGAGGGGGTAGGATAGGGTGGCAGATCGCTCAGATGGTCATATGTGGATATGTAGACTTGTGCCCGAGTGAGCTTGACTCCCAGTTACCCTCCCATTCCTCTCTGCAGTAGACTGGACACTTGAAGGGCCAAGAAGAGAGGGTTTCCCTGGCTATGCTAGCTTACCAAAAAGCCTTGCTCTAGGGGATTTGTGTGGCAGGACTGGATCATTGGGTTTGTGGTTGTTGTGAGGCCTAGGCCTTCTCTTTAATAAAGGAAAATTTTCTGTTTCAGATTACCTAGGAACAGTACGATTTGGGGTTATCACAAATAAACATCTTGCGAAACTGGTATCCTTAGTACACTCTGGAAGTGTGTATTTACATAGACATTTCAACACATCACTTGTAAGTATTTTGAAATCACGTTTGTATTAGTGCAGTGGTTCTTTACCTTGTGTAGGTCTCAGACTCCTTTGAGGTTGGATGAAGGCTATGGGCACTTTCCCTAGGAAAGTGAGCTTGGTTTTTCTGTGTGCAAACTGACAGTTCTTACATGCCCACCTAGAGCCTATGCTCTTATTAAGAATCAACATCGGCAAGTTCTCTGTATTCTTAGGTTTGGGTACAGCCTTGTAGTTGTCCTTCTTGAAAGAGATTGCAGAGTTGCTCATCAGTTGGAGAGAGAATGGTTACTCTGGGCCTGGTTCCCAAAGGTTTAGTGGCCATTGGGTGATGTTTGTTCATCTGTTTCTTTTCTGAAGAGCAGTAATGTGACATGTTTTTCTCCTTAGCTGATGTAATGAGTTTTGAAGTTCTTGTCAAGTCACAATAACAAATTGATGGCATCTCACTCCCTAGATCCTTGGTTCCTCATCGGCTCCTTTGTTCCCTAATTTCATTTACTTTTTGGTGAGCCAAGCTCCCTTCAGCTGCTCTGAGCTTCCACCTGTGTCCTGTGCAGTCCTATGCTTCTCTATTGATGGCTATTTCTTCAGCCCGTCACAGAGAGCTTATTTTTCTGAAGTGTTTTCTGTCTCTTACATCATTGGCAGTGTCACTGGTCACAGGTCCCTTGCCTAGTGCAGTAGCTCCGTAAACCTGAGTTCCTCTGGCTCAGCGTGTAGATCCTGTCAGACTCTTGAGTGAGGGGGTGAGGCTCACTTAACCAGTCACCCTAGCTCCTACCTATCTTCAGATAGACATGCTTTACTTCTTACCATTCGTATCCCAAGGCCCAGTGTATTTTATGTTTTCCACACATGCCGTGTTCATGTGATGTTTGTGATGCTGTTAGATGTGCTTTCAAATTCCACCTGTCTGGCTCTGCCTCATTGCCATGACAGCTGCCCGCTGCCCATCTCAGCTGCTGCTTTCCACCTCATCTGCTTACCTAGCTGTCATCTCCTCATGCTTTATTTGTGGCCTACACTTACATTTCAGTAAAAGATACTGAGGAAGGCGTTTGAAATGGACAGAGAAAAAAAAGGTAGAACTGTAGAACTGTGAGGGAACTGAAACAAATTGGGGTTACTGTTTCAGTTGTGTGACTCCCACTGATTCCCTTTATTGAATGAGATATTTGGGGGACAGCAAAATTTTTAAAAGGAATAGCAGTGGTCATCTTTGTTATGAGATCATTTAAATGTACATGTTTTAGGGGGAGTCAAATTTCTCATTTTGTGAAACCCTCCAGAGCAACTCTATTGAAACCAGTGATTTGTATCATTAGGCTTTTGAAAACAGTCTAAGGTTTTGTTCCAATGTTGTAGAGAACCAAAGCATAAGCAGTGCCTCCTTCCTTCATCTGTATACACAAAGTAATCTGGGCATGTGCAAACTTATGTCATTCATTCCCTGACTCATTCGGAGAGCTGTTGAATCTCTGCTCTGTGCCAGGTGTGCAGCCTGGTACTTGGATTGCAGGGAGTAAAGTAGACAGCCAAAGTAGAAATAAATCTGTCCTTGACTCTGTGGTTCCTATTCCTATGGCTCTGCCTTTGTCCTTTTGTAAACACCCAGTGACCCGTCTATAGCTCTCCTTGGTCAGGGTAGTAAGGTCCTTACAGCCATCAGCACCCAGGGAGCATTACCTGGATCGGTGACTCTAAGAGGAAAAAGGCAAATCTGGTGATGTGACAGCTGTCTGCTTCCACTTTTGCATTCTGACCACTGTGAGGGTGTGCCATGAGAAGAAGCTGGCTGAGTGTGGGCTTCCTGACAAGTGGCATCCATGCCTCTGGCTCCATTTCCTCCTGTGCAGGGTGGGTAGACTGGGCCTCTGCAAGATGGTGCTGGTGCTTTGCTGGCTTTTCCTTGCTTAGCTTTACTTTATCCTTGGTGCCTTTGTCTTCTCCACAGGTCTTCCCCAGGGAGGTCATGAACTTCACAGCTGAGAACATCTATAAGTGGGCCTCGGAAAACCAGGAGCTGCTCTTCCGATGGCTGCGGCCCCATGGGGGTAAGAGTCTGCTGCTGAATAACGAGCTGAAGAAGGGACCAGCGCTGTTCCTGTTCATACCCTTTGACCCCTTAGCCGAAAGGCATCCTCTCTTAGATGAGGTAAGCGTCCCTGAGGCCATTGTCCCCATGAGGAATGGGAAACCTTACTAGCACAGACTGCTCTCCTTCCATGTTCAGGGTGCTTCTCCAGCACCTAGTAGCTGCCAGGAGTGGAAGAGAGAAGCCCTGGAGCTGAGACAGGGGTGCCCCAGCCTCTCTTGCCATGGCTGTTGACAGCTATTTAGGTGTGGGTTGACTAGGACAGAAGGCCTCCCAAAGGAAGACCACACAGCCCTCTTTCAAGGCAGCTGAGGCAGAGCTTCTCATTTGGAAGTATCAGGAATATAGGCAAAGGTTGGTGTGATCTTAAAGGTACCATGGTCCAAAAGAGGTGACCAGCAGTCCTTGGGAGTTTGCAGCCCTGTAGTCAGGAGCAGCAGCAGTGACAGTGGGATATCATGTTTGTCTAATCCTGTCCTGTCATGCTGGTAGCTAGTGGTTTCCAGAAGCAAGCCTCTGCCAGGCGTCTGCCCCCTCTCCTGCACCTGTACTGCTTGCTGGAGCGCTCAGTGTCTGATTTGACTTCATTTAATACATGGATCACTTGGGGGCACTTAGAGCAGACACAGTCAGCAGAGAACGCATGGGATTGCTAAATTGAATTTACTAGGGTTTTATTTTTTCTTTCCCTCAAGGATTCCTTAATTGGTCCAAACCAATTTTTACAGCCAGCATAGCACAGGCCAGGCAGTGCCTCTCCCTCAGCCTCAAAGTGCCACTGGAGCGGTGGACACACCTTCAGCCAACATGCACTGTGCCTGCTGCTCTGGAGCCTTAAAGTTAGTAGGCACCGGTGGCTCACACCTGTAATCCTAGCTACTCAGGAAGCTGAGATCTGAGGATCACAGTTCAAAGCCAACCCAGGCAGGAAAGTCTGTGAGACTCTTATCTCCAATAAACAACCAGAAAACTAGAAGTGGCGCTGTGGCTCAAGTGGTAGAGCACTCGCCTTGAGCTGAAGGGCTCAGGGGCAGTGTCCAGGCTCAGAGTTCAAGCCCCACAACCGCCCCACCCCCAGCCCCCCAAAAAAGTTTACTATCCCACTGGCAACCTCTGGATGGCTGCTGCTGTCCTGACTCAGGAGGGAGAGAAACTAGTTTTGTTCCTTCCCGTCAGCTTAGAAGGACAGGAAGTAATAAAGCTTTGTACTTTATGAACCCAGGAGCTCTTTCCCATGCTGGGCATCTACTGTGGCCCAGGAAACCCTGGTGGGCTTTGCAGGAAAATTAGGGTTTCAACCAAGTCACTGGCTGTGCTTGTGGGTTTTTGCTGTAGACTACAGGCTTCCAGAGGGTTTTCTTGACTGGTTTGGGTGTGCCCAGGTCCTGGGTAGGGTGGCATGTTGGGCAGGAGCCCAGGTGCTGTCTTCCCTGCAGATAGTTACGTTGGACTATAGGCTGTCAGTGGACCCTAAAGGCTTTCCAGTCTGCTCTTCCAGACAGGGAGTCCCCCCATTTCCTGAACCTGCCAACAGGCCTTGTTTTTATCACATTTCTATCTGTGGCCCCTTCCTTGGGTTCCCAGGGTCCTGGGAGGTAGGTGGATCTCTCGGTGCACAGAGGACATGACGGGAAAGCAGACGCCCTCCCATGTTGTGAAGTCCATAAGCAAGCAGCAAATGGTCCTCTGAGTCAAACCAATCAGACCAGAGCTTAATGAGCACCGTGTGGGGAGCACAGGGGAAGGAAGATACATAGCAGTCTCAGCTCTCTGGGCTTTGAGCTATTGCAGTATGGAAATAAGAGCCTGTTGATAGTTCTCACAGAGAAGCAATGGCCCAGGTGCAGGCTTAGGCTCAGGCCATGATCCAAGGGCATCACCATGAGGCCTTGCCCTGGAAAGCTGGGAGCTGGAAAGAAGAAGAAGAGGAAGAAGAAGAAGAAGAAGAAGAAGAGGAGGAGGCAGGGCGGGGGGAGAGGAAGGGGAGGCGGCGGCTTTGGGAAGTGTTTGAGACAGACTTTTAGGGGCAGCCAGGATCTTGACGGGTTGAGGCAGAGTAAGGACAGAAAGAGGCACAGCAGTGTTGGGACCTAGCCTGTGCTTACTGGAAGAGCTGTCAGTGGAGGACCCCAAGAGAACTTTGGGGAATGCCTGAGAAGTCAGAATAAACTAACTGTAGTCCTCCAAATATCCTGTGACCATAGTTTAACATTTTCCTGAAAGCAGGTTCTAGAAAAGTAGGACTGGGAAGGTGGTTCAGTGATAGAGTGCTTGCCTTGCATGCTTGGGGCCCTAGGTTCAATTCCTTAGCATCACAGTGCTAAGTGTGGAAACCATTTCAAGTGTATGTGTAGAGCATGTTGTATAAGAGACAGGAATGAAAAACCTGGGGAAAGGACTTTTCTACAGGTTGTGTTTTCTTGGATGAGTATAATCGTAGTTAATTTCTATGAAAGGTGGCAGGGATGTGGAGTTCCGCGTGGTGTCTAAGGGAGTTCCCTGCTGCCCTGTTGAGCACAGGCAGTTCCAGAATGGGCAGAGGGCAGGGACACTCAGGTTTGCGTCAGCCCACAGCTTTTCCATGAAGGATGGAACTGTTTGTTTCTGTGTGGAAAGCAAGCAATTTTAAATGGCAATTTTCATCTAAAGTGACATTTTAATACCAAAAATGGTTGGGACAGTTTATTTTTTCCATAAAAATCTATATATTTTGAGTCAATCCATAAATATTGTTATAAAGCTTGTTCCTGTTTTTGTTTTTTTCTTTTTAAATTAAAAATATACTCTTTGAATGGTTCTGTGTACATATAAACACTTCTTTTTTTAAAATTAAAAAAAAAATTTTTTTGGTTGGTCGAAGGGCTTGAACTCTGGGCCTGGGCGCCGTCCCTGAGCTCTTCAGCTCAAGGCAAGCGCTCTACCGCTTGAGCCACAGCGCCACTTCCTGTTTTCTGGTGGTTTATTGGAGATAAGAGTTTCACAGACTTTCCTGCCCAGGCTAGTTTTGAACCGTGATCCTCAGATCTCAGCCTCCTGAGTAGCTAGGATTACAGGTGTGAGCCACTGGCACCTGGCAAATAGCTTAGTTTTTTTGTTTTGTTTTATTTTTGTCAGTCATGGAGCTTGACCTCTGGGCCTGGGTGCTGTCCCTCAGCTCTTTAGCTCAAGGCGAGTGCTCTACCATTTGAGCCACAGCTCTACTTAAAAACTTTTTTGAGATAGATTTTTTTTTTTTTTTTGGGTCCTGTCGTGGGGCCTGAACTCTGGGCCTGGGCGCTGTCCCTCAGCTCTTCAGCTCAAGGCTAGCGCTCTACCACTTGAGCCACAGCGCCACTTCCGGCTTTTTTCTTTTTGCTTATGTGGTGCTGAGGAATTGAACCCAGGGCCTCAGGCATGCAAGGCAAGTGCTCTACCACTGAGCCACCTTCCCAGCCCTTGGGATAGATTCTTGATAGGTATGTACCCATACCATGCTCTTGCCTCACCCTTCATAGTCCAGGGGCCACCTTGCCCTGTCTTGAGTAACTGGATACCGTTTAACTTACTGGTGAGATTTGATTCTAGGTACCACATTATTTCATTTGAGATAGTAAATGCCTTTGGATCATAACTTGCTCTTTTTGTGGGAGTAAAGCTACTGTTGGGAGTGGGAAGATTCTGGGGAAATGCTTATGAGAGATCTCAGACCATTCCCATTGTTCCATTGGCCCAACCCCTCATCTGAGCTGCCATGCCTTTGAGATTCCTTCTCCTGCTATAGGTGAATATCTATAAGATGCCTCCACTTCAAAACAGTGGGCTCAAAAAAAAAAAAAAAAAACCAGTGGGCTCGTTTCTTGTTGATAATGTGACAAAGTTCTCGGTGCCAGCAGGTTTTGTGATGGTTTTCTCAGTGACTACACATAGAGTGCCTCCAGGCTTGGCACTGACTGCCGGTCTCCTGCAGCAGTCCTCAAGCCCTCACCACCTCTCCCTTCTCTTTCAGATCACCCAAGTGGCCTTGGAGTACAACAACTGTCACAGGGACCAGGTGGTGGAGCGGCTTCTTCAGCACCTGCGGCGGGTAGATATGCCTGGCCTCCAGTCCCTGGCACCGGAGCCACTGGCCCCGCTTCACGATGCCCCACTGAGGCCAGCGTCCCCCTGCTGTAACACTGTGGTGCTGCCCCAGGGGCACACCTTCTCCAGGACCCACAATGTGTGCGAGCTGTGTGTGAACCAGACGGTGGGGGGCACCAAGCCCAGCTCAGTCAGCATGCCGCACTGCAGCTTCTTTGAGATGGCGGCAGCTCTGGATTCCTTCTACCTCAAGGAACAGACCTTTTACCATGTGGCATCGGGCAGCATGGAGTGCAGCAATTTTTTAACTTCCTACAGCCCTTTCAGCTACTGCACTGCATGCTGTAGGACCATACACCGCGGTGTGGCAGGCTTCGTTGATTCTGAGCAAGAAGCCTTCGAAACCCCTGCTGTGGCATTCTCTCCCCTGGAGAAGTGTGAGGCCACCACCCCCAGCCCCGTTCCTCACATTGAGGAGAACAGGTATCTCTTTCCAGAAGTGGGCCTCACTAGCACAGCCTTCACGGGCCTGAGCTGCAGAACCAACAAGACCCTCAACATCTACCTTTTGGATTCCAATTTATTTTGGTTATATGCAGAGAGACTGGGTGCTCCAAGCTCCACTCACGTGAAAGAATTTGCCACAATTGTGGATGTGAAAGAAGAGTCTCACTATATCTTGGATCCAAAGCAAGCCCTCATGAAGTTCACCCTAGGTACTGTAGGCGATTTCCTTCCCCGGGCAAATGCGTTTTCATTAACCTAAGACCAGTCATAGGGTGCTCAGAGGGTTGACCTAAACTCTGAGACATTTGATCATAAATTGTCTTGTCCATTGGTTGTAGTTTTACAAGAAGCTACATTTGTCCATAAAATAGGACTCCCGAGTTAAGCAGTTAGCCTGGAAGGGTAGAGGTCCATCACCCGTCACATGAGTGAGGTAGAGGTAGCTGTCCTTGGTGTGGACGGGCTACTGTAGTGGCAAGGAGGTGAGAGGATTCTTGAGGGATCCCTGGGACTGATGAATGCAGTCATCTACAGCAGCAGCATCAAGTATGAAAACCCTATGGTTTGAATGTTTGAGTGTTAAGGCCACCGGCACTGGAAGGGGTACCTAAAATGTGCCATGCCAGTGCCACGTGCCGTGAATAAATTCCAGAGCTGGGCCCCACTGTGGGAAAGTACCCAGAGCTTGCCCCTAGGGCTTGGCAGCAGCAGACTAGCCACACAGCCCTGTTCCCAGGACTTTGCTGAAGTCCTGCCATATGCCAGGAAGTGAGAATTCAAAAGCCTCCTTAGTTCAGCCTCAGTGGAAATGCAGAGAGAATCAGTGTTCAACAAATGGAGGGAGGAAATTTGACCTTCAGTTTAGACTAGGAAACAGGAGTAACTGTGTCCTCTGGCTGTCCTCTTGCCCATCTTTCCTTCTAGGTGAAGCATGTTCTACCATTAGTCATGTTTGTGAAATATTCGTGTAAATGTCAGGATTTCTATGATAAATTAGATTCCATTATAATCAGGATGGCTCCTTGCTGTTTCAAGGGAAGTCCTGGGACCAGCCACTTTGTGGAGGACATGATCTTTTCATGTGACCCATGATTCCCAATTCATGTTTTCTGAAAGATTGGTGTATTGTTTCATTTTAAGAAAATGAATATTGTGTGTGTGTGTGTGTGTGTGTGTGTGTATGCACACGTATGTACGTACGTGCACGAGCGAGACCTAGGGTTTGAACTCAGTGCCTAGGTGCTGTTCCTAGGCTTTTATGCTCAAGCCTAGTGTGATATCACTTGAGCCACAGCTCCATTTCTGGATTTTTTGCTGCTAAATTAGATATAAGAGTCTCAGTCTTAAAAGTGTATTAAGTGCATCTGTGAGTCATCATTGAAATTCTCCAGATGATTGGTACTGCTGTGACCACCCTGTTGGACTTAGATGCTCCTTCACAGACCCCATGCCTGAACCTGCCAGATATTTTCCAGGCCACATTCCATTGCCCTGTGGATTTGGTCTCTTAGCCTTGCACTCCACTTCCACGTTTTCTTACGCTTGCCAGGGTAGCCAGACTTGCCACAGTAGATGTCTGAAGGTGGCAGGCCTTGGAGCCACAGCAGCCAGTGGCATAATGTGTGCCTCTTGGCTCAGCACTTTTAGAAGAGTGGTGTTCCCTTCAGGAAGCACGTGGAGCAAAGGCACTAAACAGAAAGGAAAGGCCTTCTTCAGGTTTTGTTCCATCTCTGTACTCATTTGGAAATGTCTGGCTCAGTTGCAGTTTTCCTACAGTTGGTGACGGTTTTAAGGGGATTTCTGAAACAAGCCATGTACCATCATAGTTGTTAATAGCAAAATCAGCCATCTGTAGGTAGCTTCAGAATGTTTAGATTCCCTCAAAATTAGGAAAAAAAATTGTTTCATGTTCCAAAAACAGTCCAGTGAGTGTAATTATAGTGTGATAATACTGTGTCTAAGTAGTCACAGCATTCTACACCTCCTCCCTCTGAAGACCATGGCAGGGCCCATTGAGCCCTCACAGTAGGGAATTAGGAGTTGCTCAGCCTTCTGTGGAGGAAAGAATGGAAGGATGCTATAGATGGTGGCTTTTGTGGTTCAAGTTAGGGCTTTGGATTATTTATTTATATATTTTTCCAATACATATCATTGAACTTATTTTAGTTAACCTCTTTAAAAAGAAAAGTGCAGGGTGCTAATGGATCACACCTATAATTTACGCAACTGAGGAGGCTGAGATCTGAGGGGTTAATTTAAATACACTATATCATCGCAGCTTGTGCAGTTTTCATTTTATGGTTGTGTTCACCAGCCTTAGTATTTACTACAGTTGAAATCTTTTGAAAAGAGTTTGGCACAGGAGAGGTAGAGGTGTGGCTCAGGTGGTAGAGTGCCTGCCTAGCAAGCACAAAGCCCTGAGTTCAGACCCCAGTATTACCAAAAAAAAAAAAAAAAAAAAGGTGCGGCATTAGATAGATACTGTATGCTTTCTCAGTTGTAGGGCAGTCCTTAAAAAGAACAAGACAGAATCTTACTGTGTGAGTGTAGAACATCCCAGGCTTTACAGTGGTTTGTTTCTTAAAGGACTTCCTCCAAGGTACTGTTACCAAAGCTGAGCCCGATTGCTCCAGAGCAGCTTTGTGCAAGGTTGTGCTTACAAATACAGTACTAAAACTATAAGCACGTGAAGTCATTTCAGTTTTTAAAACATGGAGTTTAAAGTAGGTCAGCTGCTCTGCCTGTACCTGGAGAAGAGTCGATCTCATTTTCTCTTTTATTTTTAGAATCTTTTATTCAAAACTTCAGTGTTCTCTACAGTCCCTTAAAAAGACATCTCATTGGAAGCAACTCCGCCCAGTTCCCTTCTCAGCATCTAATCATTGAAGTGACAACTGATACCTTCTGGGAAGTGGTCCTTCGGAAGCAGGTATAGACTCACGAGAAAAAGTAGAATTCAAGCCATCCATCCCTCCTACAATAATTACCCATGCAGTGATTATTAGAGTGAGTAGGTTTTGTGGGGTTTGGGTTTGCTTTTTGTTTTTTCCTTTTTTTTTTTTTTTTGGTACGTTTGGTTTTTGTTCCAGAACTGGGTGTAAACACAGGGTAGTTGTTAAGGTGACTGGTTGGAGTTTTTTTGTTGTTTTTGTGTGTGTGCTAGTATTGGGGCTTGAATTCAGGGCCCTGTGTTCTTTTTCTTTTTTTCTTTTTTCTTTTTTTGATCGGTTGTGGGGCTTGAACTCTGGGCCTGGGCGCTGTCCCTGAGCTCTTCAGCTCAAGGCAAGCGCTCTACCACTTGAACCACAGTGCCACTTCCAGTTTCTGGTGGTTTATTGGAGATAAGAGTCTCACAGACTTTCCTGCCTGGGCTGGCTCTGAACTGCGATCCTCAGATCTCACCCTCCTGAGTAGCTAGGATTACAGGCGTGAGCTACCGGTGCCCTGTGGGCCTTGTGCTCTTGCTTAGCTTTTCTGCCCACAGCTGGGGGACTCCCACTTGAACTACACCTCTGGTCTTAGATGTTGGTTTTTGATGTACAGAGATTTTTCTGGCTAAGCACTGTGGCTTACACTTGTAATTCAAGATCCCATCTGGAATTCGAATCATACCATCTCTACCTCCATACTTGGGAGGTAGAGATTAGGAAAAGCAAAGTTCAAGGCTGGGTTGGAGACCTCATCTCAACCAATAAGCTAGGTGTGGTGTTCAGATGTCATCCTAGCTATGTGGGAAGCAGGTCCAGGCTAGCCCCTGGCAAAAATTCAAGACCCTTTTGGAAAAGTAAAAGCTCTAGCAGGAGGAAGATGGTGCATAGCTCACATGGTAGAGCACCTATTTAGCAAGGTCTAGCCCTAAATTAAGAAGCCCAGTACTGCTGGATGGTAGTGGCACACACCTGTCATCTTAGCTACTCAGGAAGCTGAGGACCAGTTCACTCAGGAAAGTCCATGAGATCTGATTTCCAGTTTATTAAAGCCAGAAGTGGAGCTGTGGCTCAAGTGATGAGTGCCAGCCTTGAGCAAAAAAGGTCAGGAACAATATCTAGGCCTTGAGTTCAAGCTCCAGGACTGGCACACATACATGCATGCATGCATGCGCACGCGTGCATATACACACACATGCACACACACAACTACACACACACACATATCACACACATAGAAAAACAAGATTGGTGTGATGATGGCACATGAGTGAATGACATGGTTTTCTAACTGTAGAATATTCTTCATGAAGCACAAAGTTGGGAGGATCTAGAGATGCAAACTTCATTGCAATTTCTGCATGGTTTGTGGCATGGACTGATGCTGTCAGACTGTGCACCCATCAGGGAGGCAGGTGTGTCCTAGGTTCAGTAACAGTTTCTTCCCTTCCTGCAGGATGTTTTGCTGCTCTACTACGCCCCGTGGTGTGGCTTCTGTCCATCCCTCAATCACGTCTTCATCCAGCTTGCTCGACTCCTGCCAGGGGACGCACTCACTGTGGCCAGGTAAGGACTCTGTTCCGCAGCATGGTGAGCCTCACTTTCCTTTGTCCTCACTTTCCCTTGATGCCAGGATTGCCCATTAGTGGAGAGTAAGGCTTGGATTCAATGATGAGGCTAAAGCCACAAGCAAAGCCTCATTGAAGCCAACTTTTTCCTGTCAAATTCTGAATGTCCACATTGCAGAGTATGTTCAGTGCTGGAGATTCATGGAGGCCCAAGCAGAACTCTGGCTGCTTAGAGTTCCTGGCACGGGGTTCCCACAGTTGCCATCTGGTCTGGAACCCAGAGCACCAGCTCCTGTTTTCCTCTTCATTTGTGAAACCAAGAGGAAGGATTGGGTGATAGCTACAGGTCCTAGTTTTAGAATTCCCTGGGTACTACGCTGTGAGAGCTCTTGCATACATTTAAAATTATTAGGAGGAAGTAAGCAATTTTGGTACCAGGTTCTTTAGATTTAAATTATGTCTTCTCTCCCTTTCCCCACAAGAAATCCTCCATATACATTAAATATAAAAGATCAAATAACAGAAGGTAGCATATTGAGTTTGGTATCTTTATGAGAGATAGAGATTTTCTGAAGTAGCCACAAGGCTGGGTGCCTGTGGCTCATGCCTGTAATCCTAACTACTCAGGAGATTGAGTTCTGAGACTCAGTTACCATCCCAGGCAGGAAAGTCTGTCAGGGTCTTACCTCCAGTAGATTAGCAAAAGTCCAAAAGGGGAGCTATGGCTCAAGTGATAGAGCACTAACCTTGAACGAAAGAAGCTCAGGCACAGCACCCAAACCCTGTATTCAAGCCCAGCACAAAAATACGAACCCATTCCTTGAGAAGTATGTCTGTTTTGTGTTGCAAACAAAAGAGGAACACAGATCTAGAAAAGGAGCCGGAAGTACGGTTCCAACGTCCCCAGTTGAGTTTTACATGCAGTGCGCGTCTGGAATAGAGCCAGGGATTTTGTATGCACCCATGACTTAATCCTCAGAAGACCCAGTGAAGCCAGGGTGGGCATCGCTCTCTTTAGCTGGGAGGACACTGACTGCACAGAAAGATTAGATAACTTGCTGGGAGTAACACCATCTGTAAGTACAGCTGGGATTCAGAAGCAGGCAAAGCAGGCAACCCTACTGCAGACCACGCACATATGGGGTGGTGGAGGGGAACTCTGGTGCCAGTGAAGGACACAGGTAGGTCTTCATGTAAGGGGATGGCTGGGAAGTTGGAACCTAAGCAGTGTAAATGAAAACAAATGCAAAGTGTCCTTTATACTTGGCAAAATTAATAAATACATGTGAAAGAATTTGTGTTGATAAAATAAAGTGAAATTGGCACAGTTGGTTGTAACTAATGGAATGAGTAGGCTGGCATAACCCTTTTGGAAAGTGTTTTGGCAACATTTGCAACAAATCTCCAGTTAATTTCATTTCTGATCCAGTTAATTTCAGTGTGGAGAATTGGGGACTAGAAATTCCTGAGACTCATGACTAGTCTCTTCAGCTTTATGTATTTATTTATTTGCCATAAGCAAAACCTCATTGAAACCAACTCTTTCCTGACAAACTACGTATCTTTGAAGTTTAGATTCTGCAAATGAGTGAAAACATGCAGTGACTGGTTTTTGGAGCTTGGCTTATCTTGTTCAGGCTTCAGCATTACCTATGCCAGTGAAGAGGAGTGGTCCTGTTGGCACGCAATGGCATTTGTATCCATTCCTGAGAGCAGCACTTTTCAGACAATTAATAAACCTTTCTAACTCTATAAGCTAAGTCTAGCCTAGTGGAGAGTTCAGAAAGAAGCCCCACGTAGCCTAGTGGAGTACTATGAATGCAGTTTGTTCTTGCACTGAAGCAAACGTCAGGAGGACATAGAATATAGTACCCAGCATGTGCTTGAAAAGTGGAACTTGGGTTGTAGGCAAGCTCCTGGAGCCAGGCAGGCATGCTGGTTGTTAATAAAGCAGGGAACTTGTTTTTATTTGGACAAATGCTTGGCACTGACTTGCACCCCCAACTCCAGGTGTGAAACCTTCCCCATCTCTTCACATACTTGTGAATATTGCCCACCCAGCCCTTCCCTGAAGGATGCAGATGACACCCAGTGCCTGCTCAGTGCCTGCTGTTGGAGGGCTGTCTGCCCAGTGCAGCTGCAGTCCATTGCAGGCATTAAGTGAAGGATGGGTGTCATCTTGTGTATGCAGAACTCTGCTTAGAAAATGCACTGTTGGGCCTCCATCCAGATTTACAGCTTAGAAAAGAGTATCATCTTTCATGTTCAAAGAGGCTTGTGTGTTTGTTTGGTGATTTCCTTTGTTTTTCCAGGACTAATTTGGGGGATAAAATGCAGTTGGGGTGTTCATTTATATTTGAGGCCCTTCTTCCTTCTCGGTGGGTTGTTTCCCTGGAGAATACAGTTGTGTTTCCAGAAGTTGTGAGTGCCTCACTCACCCACTCGTGCACTCTGCGAGAGCGTGGGCCAGCCAGGGTGACCGACAAAGGTGGTTTCTGGTGGGTATGCCCTACATGCTCTTCCTTACCTCCTCTCGCTTTTTGCTTTCTGCCAGGATTGATGTGTCGCAGAATGATCTTCCTTGGGAATTTATGGTTGACCGTCTCCCTACCATCTTGTTTTTTCCCTGCAACAGGTAAGACTGAGTTCTTTGGCAGATAGAATTATCTGGTTGAGGTCTCAAGATGAGGTAGGTTTCTTAGGATGTTGTCATTCATTGTGACTGAGCTAAAAGAAAACCCACAAAACTGCCATTAGAGCTACCTTCCTTCCTCAGGTTCAAGCAGCTCATGAAAGAGCTTTCTTTGTGTGCAGACTGTGAATGTCTTCTTGGGACTATCACTTTGACCTTTTGCCCTTTGCCCATAGGCTGTTCCAAGGCTGATTGCTCCAACAGCTGTGCTGAGAGCCCCAGCAAGCAGGAACAAGGCCTTAGTAAAATACGCAGGTTTGGCAGTGGGCTTAAATGTTTCAACAGAAAGGGAATGACCTCTCTCAGCCCTTTAAAGCCAAGGAAGCCAGCAGCTGGCTCCCTATTGGCATTGATTTCTTCTGGTTTGAGGATGGGTCCTTGGGGACCCACTTCTGTCCTCTATGGGAAATTTGCTTTCAGGATCGTTTAGGCAGGGCCCTGACTCTGTGCAGCTTGTGGTTTTCATTTCCTGCTTCCTTTTATGATCTGCTTCTCCAGCATGGATTTTCCTTTGCAGCTGGTGAATCATTGCCTTACTGCTTCCGAATGGAATAACCTTTGTGCTAATCTCAGTGGAATATGGTATAGTGGTAGTGTCTTGTCAAGGCATGCACTACATACAGTGTGACTCACTGCTGCTGCCGCCTGCATCAGATAATCCTTTTCCTTTCTAAGAAGTATTTAAATTGCCACTGGATTAATATAGACTATAACACTAGCAATTTCATCTGTGGGGGACAAGTTGGGCAGGTAGTTTATGACATCTAGTTTTTTAAATTCCAAACTTACTTTGAAAAAGCATTGACTGTCAGCACCCAACACATGCGTTTGCATGAAGTTCTCACCACATGAGTGTGTGTGGAGGGAGAGTGCACGCACATGGTGGAGGGCTTGTTTAGAGGCTTGCTTGGGAGCACAACAGTGAGCCCCCACTCCAAACCCTGGGTCAGGAGGGTGCTGGACAGGAAGATGGGTTCAATTAAGTGGAGAGAGATTAGTAAGTCAAAGCCTTACTGCTTTGGAATGGAATTTTTCTCATTTCTGTAAAACTGTTGATAGGCAGGCTGGGAATATGGCTTTGTGATAGAGTGCTTGCCTAGCATGCATGAAGCCCTGGGTTCGATTCCTCAGTACTACATAAACAGAAAAGGCTGGAAGTGGTACTGTGGCTCAAATAGTAGAGTGCTAGCCTTGAGCAAAAGAAGCTCAAGGACAGTGCCTAGACCCTGAGTTCAAGCCCCAGGACTGGCCAAAAAAAACAGCAACAACAACAACAAAAAATGTTGATAGGCATGAGTGAAGGAAACTTCATCATCAGCTGGTCCAAAGAGGGTCAGGCCAGCCCAAGAGAGAAAATGAAAAAGTCGGAATCACATGCAGTGAGACTTATTTCCATAATTCACCGGCATACCACTGTTGAATGCAAAGTGATCAGTCTCGTATGAGTGCTAGGGAAATGAAGACTTGTATGTGCCCTGAGTGTGTGCACAGAGTTTGTGCTGGTGTTGACAGCAATTGCTCGGAGGGGAGAGGAATCCATGTGCTCTGGGACTTCATCGCTGCTGCACATTGACGACAGGGAACATGTCCCAGTTTATAAAAATCACAAAGAAACCTGTCCTCAGCCCAGTGTGCAGCCTGCCCAGCTGTGGCCTGATCCTGGGCCTACCTCCCCTTGCCCCAGGCTGGAGAAAGGGTAGGATCCTAGGGGGGGGGGGGGGGGGGGGCAATCTCTGTCCTGCGTAGGACATCTCTGAATACTCCTAGCCAATGGCCTGCATGGAACTTTTGAGTGACACTTCAAAAAGCAGATGCTCTGGCGTGCTCCTGGATCAGAGCTGGAGGAGGGGAAGCCACATAAGCTCTACAAAGAGACTGTAGTGTGGCCCCATGAAGAACCCAGTCCTTCCCTCAGGATGAGCGAGGCAGATTAAACATGTTACCACCATGATCTCTAAAGGTTTACTTTTGGACTGGGGATATATAGCTCAAGTGGCCTAGCAAACACAAATCCTTAAGTTCAAACTCCAGTACCACCAAGAAAAATAATGTGTGAGCCAGACACCAGTGGGCCATGCCTGTAACCCTAACTTCTCAGGAGCTGAGATCTGAGGATCATGGATTGGAGCCAGCTGGAGCAGAAAAGTCCCCATGATACTCTTATCTCCAAACCACTCAAAAAACTGGAAGTGGCGTTGTGGCTCAAGCGGTAGAGCACACTTGCCTTGATGAAAAGAAGCTCAGAGACAGCACCAGGCCCAGAGTTCAAGGCTCAGGACTGGTAAAACGAGAAAAAAGAAAACATGAAAGTAGCTGGGTATAGTAGGGCATGCCTTTAATCCCAGCACTCAGGAGGCTGAGACAAGAGGAGGATGGTAAGTTCAAGATAAGCCTTGGCCACGTATTGAGACCTTGTCTCAAAACACCAAAAACTAATAAATGTACACGGCCATTAGAGGCAGTCATGGCATTGCCTAAAGACCTGTAAGGATCTTTGCAGTGCCATAAGTGTTGCAGCCCCTCCCCGGTGGCTCACCTGCACCCTGCCCTGGAGACACGGAAAAGTCGTGTGCCTTCCCCTCTGGAGTGCTGCGATTACAGGCACACACCACACGCCTGGCTAACAGTGCAGGAGCTCATGTTAAAAGCTAACATTGAGCACTCACTGAACTCATCAGTCCTTACAACGGTCTCCTGAGATGGTCATCATCCCCACCTGACAGAGCCATCACTCGTCTCCCAGCACACTGGCAGAGACAGGGCCATGTTGGCCAGCTGGCCTCTGAGTTCCTACTCTGACCATCAGTCACTGGACCTCTAAGGGAGCTGGTTCCTAACGGATTGTTGCGGCCCGCTTGTATGCTGTGGGAGCCCCTTCCTCTGCCACCCTCCTTCTCTACTCCTAGGGGCCAGCAGTTATATATAGTTCAGTGTCCGCTGGGCCAGGTACAGACACCCCCAGTTGAGAACCCCTGCTGTAGACAAATGCTTGTTGACAAAACTGCCAAGTGTTTTACCCTTCCCAGTGTCACCAAGCACTGCTAGTGCCAGTGACATGGTTGGTGACAGTCCTGCTCAGGAATCCCACCTGGCCCCACCAGTGGGCCACACCTAATTTAGAGAATGCCATGTCACCGACTTTAGGCTTGGGCTTCTTGTCTTTCTGGAAAGTTGGGCACAGAAACAGTGCTCTGTCCTTAGGAATGAACAGTTCAAATAAGCCACATTAATCTCAGCACAAGGTACCAGAGACCACTGCGGCTCTGCCGGGAGCTGCTGTGCAGCTCCAGCATCTCCTACCTTCCGTTCTCTGCATAGCCCACCTGACTGGAAACAGAACACCTGGTTTGGGACTGTGCCTGTGGGCCTGATTCCTCTCTTTCTCTCTCTCCAGAAAGGACCTAAGTGTGAAGTACCCCGGAGACCTCCCCGTTACCCTCCCGAATCTGCTGAAGTTCATCTTGCATCACTCAGACCCCACCCCTGCCCCCCAGAACTTGGCCAACCCTCAAGAATGTCTTCAGAGCGAAGTGGCCTTAAAGCAGGGCCACATGGCCCACTTGGAGAGAGAGATGCAAAGGCTGCGAGCAGAGAGGGGCAGCCTGCACCGGGCACAGGTGCAGGTGGAGAGCCGGCTGTCACGGGCACGCAGGGATGGGCGCCGCCTGCTGCGGCAACAGCAGAACCTGGAGCGGCAGCACAGCCTGCTCCGGCGGCATGGCCAGCAGCTGCAGGCCCTGTACGCACAGAAGGCCCGAGAGCTCCAAGACCTGGCCGCCCACTCTGAGATACTCTCTGAGAACAACACATGGCTCAAGGTCCTCATGGCCACGATGGAGAGGCACCTGGAAGGTCAAGATCACGCTGAGAACCCCGTTCCCCCTAAAGAGGCACACCCTGACCCCCCCAAGCCTCCAGGTGCCCCCCACTTACCTGGCGGCTCCTCTCCGTCTTCCAGCACCAGCGCCACACTGGCATCTGAGAGGAAGAATGAGAATAGGACAGACTAACATTGACATGAAGGAATCAGAGGTGAAATGTACATTGGGAATGTATTTATGCAAATTTTATTGAAATTTATTGTAAATAAAGATTTTCTCAGTCGTCTAGAAAATGGACTTGAATGCCATTGAACTTTTATTGAACAGGGAAGCCTCCCTTTCACTTATTGCACAAACTTGGTAGCTTGAGACAAAAACAGTAGCACAGTCCACTGGAAGAAGTGTGAGAAGTCAGTCCATGTCATAGCGGCTCAGTGTCGGGTCCCTCCCCACCCCTTCCCGTTGCTCTCGTGTGATACGACATGTAGGATGAAAGGTCAATTCCTTGATGAGTTGGGAAACTTGAATGCAACAGTTGGGCTATTGAGAACGGACTCCAAGAGAGGCCATAACTCTAAGCCACTGAAGTGTGTGGCTCTGATGTCTGCTAGAAACATAGCCATTGGTGAGTAAGAACAGGAGCGCTATTGTGTGGTGGCGGTAGGCCAATCCAGAGACACTGTCACCCCAGTGCCTCAACGCGCCACCCACACCAATGGGCCGGCCCCGGGCTCCCAACATGGTCCTGGCCTCTGGGGAGGAGAGAAAGCTCCAAAAGCTTAACTGATGGGAAAGGGAAGCGTGGGCAATCCAAAAGGAAACTTCACTGGCACAGGCTGAACCACTGACTGACAGGGTCAGACTCCCACTGCTCCTGGATGGTTAAGCTGGGAGCAGAAGGACACATAGCCTGTGTTCTGTGGCTAGCTTCCAGAGTAGAGGTAGAAAGCCTGGAGGGTCTACTGTGGGATGGGGACTGACCACGTACCTTAGCCTCTTTGAGGGCAGAGCAAACCTTCCCCAACCTTCAGGCCTTTGCACTTGCTCCTAGGCCAGTTGCCACTCCCAGCCCATGCTGTCAGGGACCAGGGCAGTTCCTTGTGGTGCTTCATGCCCCATCTTCATTAGCTCCCCCTACTCACCCCATCTGCTACTTAATGCCCGACTCCCCCAGTTCAGGTGTGTGGTGCCATAGTGCCCTTCAGCTCCCCTGGGGCTCCAGGAAGTGCATTGTTGAGCATGCTTTTCAGAAAAGGGGCCCCCAGCTTGCACATGCCATGCGCCGGCAGGCAGCTCCAGCAGGAAGAGCCAGTGCTCAGCCACGGAAAAGCGGGGCTGGCCTCAGGCAGGCTCTTTACCCAGGATCCCGACCTAGGTCATGTTTTAGTCATGACCGTTTACAATGTGCTTACAGTGGGGGATTAAAAACCTAAGCAAGCTCAATGACTGCCCACGGGGATGCTTCATGGCTGGTTCTGCAGGGAGCTACCCCCTCCTACCCCCTCCTACTCCTGCACCATGCCCAGACTGGCAGGGAGCACCTGCGGCTCCCGTGTGAATACACACAGTGGCAACCTCCCACGGGCACCTGATGCCCGACAGCCAGATCCGAGGACTCAGCCTGCGGAGAGCCAGGATGGAGAAAAGTGAGCTCCACTACCCAGCAGGTGGGTAGTCATCAAAAGAGGAAGCTACGGAGAGAGGAAGAGGGGGGACCAGACTCCACCCCTCCAGTGCAGAAAATATTAAATACAGAAACAAGATGACACCTCTCTCCTGGGCCAATCAGGTTTCAAACTAAAAGTAGCCATCTGGAGTTTCATAAGGATAGCAATTCAGCAAAGCCTGCACTACAGGTGTGCTCAGCATGCTTGAGACCAAAAGGGCAAGAAACTGCTCTGCTACCACCACACCCGGCAGCCTCAGGACTCATGCCTCACTGTCCTTCACCAGCTCCCAGGCACATGTGGTAGCGTCCTTGCAGTCATTCTGCCATCACCAGCTCTGCTGTTGAACAGTCTGTCTGGGGCAAGGGAGAGGCTTGGTCCTCCTTCTACCCATCACTAACCAAGCAGAAATCACTGGAGCGCCCCAGCTGGCCAGCCATGAGACACAAAACTGACCTCCCACTTCCTGTCCACACGGACAGACAGAAAGACACTGGCAATCCTGCCAGGTATAGCCTGGACTTGAGGAGACCAAGGTTCCCCCAGGGTGTTTTGCCTGGGCCCCTCATGAGGACCAGAACCCGTTCCATGGGCTCTACATCGTAGTAAAAATCAGCAGAGAGGCTTAAGCACGTGCTTCCGGGGCCTATTTACAGTTCACAGGTTGGTTAGTTCACGCGTTACAGTAGTAGCTCCATCAAAAACAGGCTCAGCTAAACATTCAAGTAACAAAAGCGTAAAGGAGCTATGAGCTCCAGCAAGGCCAGGCCTGCCCACTGCCAGCAATGGGCAGCCCCCACCAGGAGGCTGAGGGGAAGCCTAGGGCGGCCGGGACCCAGAGTCAGTGCATGCGATGATGGAGCCCACCGAGGCCATGCCAGCAATGTCAGCCCTTCTGCTCAGCAGCATGCCCGTGGTTCTCTCTCAGTGTCTTGAGGCTGGCTGTAGACCGGACCAGGGTCTTGCAGCTCATATCAGCCATGCACTTCTGGGCCGTTGGCAGTCATCAGCTTGGCCTTTCTCTCCACACAGGGTCCCTTGGCAGAGTACTGCACCAGCAGGAAGGGTTCCTTGGTCTCACCATCACCCACAATGCTCTCCTCGTCCTCTGACTGGCCGATGCGCTGCAGCCGCAGGTAGCACCAGCAGCCTAGAATCAGGGCTCCAAGGGCTGCGATGGCGATGAGGATGACAATGACGGTGACCACACCGGTGGTGGGGCTGTGGTCCATAATAGACATGGTCAGTGCCTAGGAGGGGCTTCCTTGACCGGAAGCTCTTGTGCTGGCTGGTTCAACAAGGCTGGAACTCAGGCCGGACCCGACATTCCTGAAAGACAGCAAGAGGAGACTACCAGAGATTCCACTGGGGACTTCCAGGGTGCAAATACATGTAGTCTGCTTTTTGGGGTTTTGGTACTAGGAATCAAACTCAAGTCTCACTCATGCCGACAAGCTCTCTATCACTTGAGGCACACCCCGAGTCTTTTTTTTTTGTGTGTCGGTCATGGGGGCTGAAATTGGTCCCTTAGTTCTTCAGCTCAAGGCTAGTGCCCTACCACTTGAGCCACAGTGCAACTTCCGGCTTTTTCCTGCTTATGTGGTGCTGAGGAATCGAACCCAGGGCCTTAAGCACTCTACCGCCGAGCCACCTTCCCAGCCCCTCCCCCCCCCCCTTTTTTTTGGCCAGTCCTGGGGCTTAAACTCAACCTGGGCACTGTCCTTGAGTTATTTTGCTCAAAGCTAGCTTTCTAGCACTTGAGCCATAGCTCCACTTCTGGCTTTTGGTGCTCACAGACTTTCCTGCCTGGGCTGGCTTTGAACCACAATACTCAGACTTCAGACTCCTGAGTAGCTAGGATAATAGGTGTGAGCCACCAGCTCCCAGCTGGTAAGATAGGGTCTTTTTGGTCCTGGGGCTTGAACTCAGGGCCTGGGCTCTATCCTAGGTCCTCTCTGTGCTCAAGGCTAGCACTCTACCACTTGAGCCACAGTACCACCTTGGTTTTTTCTGTTTATGTGGTACTGAGGAATCAGACCCAGGGCTTCATACATGCTAGGCAAGTACTCTACCACTGAGCCACATTCCCAGCCCTGAGATAGGGTCTTAATAACTTTGCTCTGGGTCTTAATAACTTTGCTCTGCTTGGCCTTGAACTCAACCCTCCAGCCTCTACCTCCTGAGTATAGGATTACGAGGATTACAGGTATGTCACCAGTCCCACTCATAGGGACTATTTGAAAGAGTTCTTCAGCCTGATGCTCCCACCCTCACACTGGTGAGAATGAGGTGTCTACTCTTGGCACACACAAGCTCACCCGGCTGTTTCTCTATCTTGGATACCTCAGCACTGCACCTCCAGTCAGCAGTCACCCCCACTCAGCCATGAGCCCCAAAACATGGGCACCATGACAGCTGTGGCAGAGGCTACAAGAGAGCCGGGTGCTACTGGCGCTCTTATGTTGAAAGACATTCTGGAAGCTAGTGCCACCAGGGCTAGATGTTTAACAGCTACTAGGGGACGGAGAAGAGCAGAGGGCTTCCTGAACAGCAGAGAGGAGGGATTTGAAAGTGGGATCCCATCAGCCCCTGGGCACAAGTAACACAGGTGACAGGAGCAAGCGGCTTCTTCCAGGACCCGTGGGAAAGGGCACAACTGACAACAGCTATTGCTACACAGGAGCACCTGCTTAGGGAAGACCATGCAGACTGAGGCCATACAAGGCTGCAAAAGGCTGAGGTCCTGCAAAGGGAAAGCCGGGGGCAGCAGCACTGCCCCCTCCTCCTTGCCAAGAAGTCTTACACTAGGCCTAACCCCAGGCCAGCTACCCTCGGAGGCTGGGGTTCACTCTCTGGGACCTGGAAGCAGGCAGGTTGCCCAGCTGCCCCCAGGCCCCACCCTCTTCTGCCTTGTCTACATGGAGCAAATCACAGTAACACTGGTTTGTGGTCACAGAAGAAGACCAGCCGGCGGTCCGTCCTGCCCAGGCTGGTGCACAGGAAGAACAGGTCTGAGCCCATGATCATTTTAAGAAGTCACGATGGCCATGCAAGTTTTTCCCTTCAAACAGGATCGAACCTGTTGTGTCCTTGAACAAAGCGGGCTTTAATTAGAAGTGACGCTTACCCAGGCTGGGGGGAGGTTCCTAGGGTGAGCCAGGCCTGCTGAAGGTCACAGGCAGCTAAGTCATCGCCCAACAGTGTCCAGGAGGCGGGTGCTGTCAGCCTCCACCCTTTGAGGCCGACTAAGGCCAGGGACCCTGCTCCCCAAACTGGAAGACATGGAACGTACCCCAGTGCTTACAGACAGAACAGAACCTGTCCCCGCCACTGCCTGCTCCCTCAGCCTGGCGCTTTCTTCCCACTCGTGTCCTGTGGCCTCACCTGAGGCAGCATGCCCCATGAGGAGGAGGCACCTGATCTCCACAACCACAGCACAACCTGGCCTAATGTCACTGTGTAGAGGTGACCTAGTTAACGCCTGCTCCAGCAAGGCCGCCGTCCTGACCTGGGGCCCTTCCCCAGCACCACCCTTGGGAACAGGCCGTTTGTCAGGACTGCCCTGCTCACCCTGCACCCTGCTCCCCAGCCACCAGCAGCTCTCACCACCCTCCAGAGGGCACAGGGCACCCTGGCCCAGGGAGCCTGCCTCTACCTCCCTGTCCCTGGGCCTCTGGCTGAGCACTGCCCAGGTTCCTACCCTCTCATGGCTTTCTGAACAGGAAGGCCAGGCAGTGTCAGTTCGGAAGGGGAAGTGAGTGCTGGGGTGGGGGGGTTCAGGGCAGGAAGTTGGAAAGGGACAACAGTACCAGAACCTGAGGGAAAGCTCAGAAAGAATCCATTGAGTCCAATGGGGACCAGCAATGCCAGGGCTGACAAGGAAACTGAGGCACAGGCAGCCGCAGCTCAGAGGAGCCCAAAGGAGTGGTAAACGCAAGTCTCAGTGTACAGCCCCAAAGGGGCCAGGTCTGGACCTCTTTGGCCTGAAGGCAGAGCCCAGTGAACCATCCAGCCGCTGTGGGTTGGTCCTCCACTAGTATGCTTCCTCCTTTTTTAACTCAGCAAGTATTTCCTGAGAACTGATCAAAAACATCAGATCACCTCATTGCCGCAGACCCTCCCAGAAGATCCTGCGCCCATCAGGCCTCTGCTGCTGCTTCCTCGGCCTACTACCCCATGCTGGCTTCTTCCTGCAACTGGGAGGTTCCTCAGAAGCACCCCCCCCCCAAAAGCACCTGGCCCCAGAAGCCACCCCACTCCATGGTATCTTTCCTAGAGCTCCCTGGCAGCTGTCTCGTTACCTACAGACTCCAGCTGCCCATCACCATACCCCTGCTCTCTCACACATGGGGGCCAGTGAAGATTTGCTGAATGCAGCCACATCGGGGATGTGGTGAGAAACTTAGAAGAGACTCAGCTCTCCAGGGGACCAGCCAGGGGTCCCCAGTCTGAGCCACCTCCCAAACTCTGTGCCATTCCTGAGTCCCTGAGCAGGACCCATGCCTGCCCCAGCCGCATGTGGGGAAGAACAGAGAGGTGCTTTGCCAGTGGACTTGGTCATGCTGGGCAGCTGCCTTTGTGCATGCTGGGATGGCAGAAACCCAAAGCAGTGGGCTGGCCAGGCCCTGGGAACCCCCTTTGCCTGGCTGGACCCCAGCCTAGGCTGTCTCCTGCAAGCTGACTGACCCCTCACCTGGACAGAACAAAGCCTACCCAGGGGACAGGACGGGACAGGAAGAGTCACAACTCAAGCGAGGAAACCCAACCCACTTCACACCACACTGATGCCCCCTTTACCAACTGCTCACCCATGAGTACCCTTGCTGTGCACGAGAAAACCGAGGCCCCGGATGTGCAAGTGGAGTGTGCAAGTGTGAAGAGCAAGAGAGGGTACGTGAACTTGGACCACTCTGGGCATAAGCACACAGGGCCAGGGCCAGGTCTCCACTGCACTGCCAATCACCCTTTACCAGCAGACTTGCCACACACATCCAAGGCCCCTGGCTCCCCCAAGCAGTTAACTCCCCACCCAGCCTGTACCCTCTTGCTTTGCACACCCTAAACCACACACCAACGCTAGAAAAACCTAGGTGCTCCACTCTGCATAACCCCCATCACTCCCCTAAATACTACAAGGGGGTGAGCTGGGACACAGGACATGCCATATCAGCAATAGCAAAGTCCACCAGCCAGCCCAGGCTTCCTAAAGCCTTGTGAGGTGGGCAGCCGGGTGCTAGGCACACAGGCTAGAGCCCAGCTCTGTCCTGCAGTGGGTTCAGTGGACAGCCGCAGCCACCAGCCAGCTCAGGGCAGGGAACTATTAAGACACTGCTGCCCCTCTCAGGCCCACAGTTGTTCCCCCAGGCCACCCCCACGTGAAGACACTGCCCCTTCCCACAGTGTGGGCACTCGGCACAGCCAGCAGCAGGACTGGCGTCCCCCTCCTCTGCCAGCCCACCAAACGGTTTCCGCCTACCAGCCTGTTTCTCAAGGTGCAAAGTGGACGTAAGCCCGGATCTCACCACAGAGCCAGAAGGCCTGGCCAGGGCATGGTGCCACAAAGCACCCTTCCCTGGGGACTCTGCTCGTCCTTTTCACTTAACTGGGCGCATCACGCGCATTGCTCAGCTGGACTGGGCACCCTGTCTGCAGCTCCTTCCTCTGCTGCTCCCCTGGGAAGTCAGGGGACTGCCCTGCTTACCGGAGCTCGCCAACTCCCAGGGGCTGCTGGCACTGCCTGCAGGGAGGAGCCATGCCCAGTCCCAAATGGAGTTGCCAAAGATGCCAACCAACCAGGCCTTCTGCCTCCAGAGGATCCTGGTTTGCAAGCCAGAAACATTTCCAGCTCTGGGGTCTTGCCCTAGACCTAGAACATGACGAGGACTCGTAGAACGTCACCTGTGCGGCAGGCCCTGGGAGGCACTGCCACACAAGGACCAGTCACCCCAGGTCTCTGCCCTCCAGGAGCCTGGACCAAGAAGAGAAGGGGCACCAGTGGCAACCATTATGGGACTGTCATCTCACCCCCACCTCCTCTCCTCTGCCAGAAGAGAAACTCACCCCCAGAACTCCCCAAGTTCCCACAGCAGAAGAGGAAGCTAAGTGTGGCAGTTCAGGGACTGCCCCAAGGTCAGCTGGGGTCTCTGGTGACTGTGAATCCCCTGCTGGGCATTCTGGGGACCAATCCATTTGGCCAAACAACTCTGGCCGTAAATAGAAGATGCTACCAAAAGTTGTTGATGATTTCAAGGTGCAAGACATGAGCTAAACACTTTTGGTGTGTCTGAGATTTCTGCCTCACAACCACCCCAGACTTGGTACTCTTCCCATCTAGCAGATAAAGAGTCTGTGGCTCCTAGAAGTTACGTCAACTGCCCAAGGACACACAGCTCAAGAGAAGAAGCGCAGAGATTCAAACCCAGGCAGCCGCGATGCTAAATTCCAGATTTCCCTCTTGCCCTGTTTCTGACTCCAGCCTCTTCCCCCGATGGAGCGGTGGAGGACAAGTGAACCCCCGCGTGGCCGTCTGCGTGACCTGTGCAGAGGACCCGATGCAGGGGACTCGGCGATGACAAGCGCCCGCGTGCCAAGCCCGGGCGGCGTGCGGGCGCGGTGCCAGGTGCCCCACGCACCCCCTCATTTCACCCCGCCAGGCGACGCCGCGACCCCCACCCTCTGGAGGCGCGAGGCAAGGCGCCGGGAGGCAGGGGCCCGGCCGGGGGTGCGACAGCTGGAGCGGCAGCCCGGCCCGCCGGGGGCGGGGGCTGGGGGAGGGGACCACGAGACCTAGTCATGCCCACGCCGCGCAGTCACTGCCAACCGCGCAAAGCGCTGCGGCTCGGCCTCAGTTTCCCCACCCACGAAATGGGCGCCAGACTCTACCTAGACCCCTCCATGCCCCAAAGCGCTGACCAGCTGGGGGCTGCCAGGACCCCCAATTCTCCCAGGATGCTTTTTGTTTTGTTTTTTGTTTTAATCCCCGAGTATGGGGGGGGGGGGGCAGCAACCCAGCGCAGGGCGCGGGACTGCGGGTGGCGGCGGGGACTCGCGCTGGCGGCGGGGGAGGGGGCGCCGCTCCCCAACCGCGGCCTCCGCCCCCCGCCGCCGCCTTTGTCCCGATCCCGCAGCAGCGCAGCGGACAAAGAACCCCCGCCCGCGGGTGCGCCCCCCGATTCCGGCACAGACCCTCCCCGGAGGCCGCGCGCCCGCCCCGGCCGCCCCGCCCCGGCCGCCCCTCCCCCGCCGCGGCGACCCCCCCCCCCCGGCCGCTGGCACGGCGCCCGCGCGCGCCCCCACTCGTCCCGGGCCGCCCCTCCCTTCCCGCAGGCCCGCTCCCGGACCCAGCGCCCAGCCCGTCCGGCCCCGCTCACCATGGCGGGGCCCGGTAGCCCCGCAGCAGCCCCACCGGCCCGGTTCCGCCCGCCCGCTGGCCCGGTCCAGCGGCGGCGTACCGTCCGGACGCAGGAGCCCAGTTCTGCGGCGGGCGGGGCGCCTTCGGCTTCTCCCAGGCTGGGGGCGGGACCCGTCGAGGAAGGCCAATGGGCGCTCGCGCTAGGACGGCGAGGGCGTGGCTAGAGTGGGGCGGGGTCACGTGTGCTCCGGGCTGGGGCGGCCGGGCGGGGCGGGGCGGGGCGGGGGCTGCGCGCAGCTGGCAGCTCTGGGGGGTGGGAGGCAGGAGGCGGGTTGGGCCTCGGCGCGCGCCGATTGGGCGCGAGTGGGAGCGGGGCCGGTGACAAGCGTCTTTCCTCCCTCAGTCTTCCCCAGCGGCAGCAGGCCACCCTATGCCTTGCCTGCTCTCAGAGGGGAAACTGAGGCACGCAACAGGTAGGAGTGTTGCAGACCTCCGGGAAGCTGGAGCGGCGCACTCCAGAGCAGGGGCCGGCGTCAGGCCCCCCTTAGAGTTGGCCTTGCTTGCAAAGGGCCCCGCGCGTCCTCCTGTTCACATGCGCGTCACTGCCCCTCGATTCTCACTGTGGTGCCCACTCCCTCTGCTTGCTGAGCCGGCCTGAACCCCTCCAACCCCAGCGGCCGCGGAGCTCCGGCCCTGAGCGCTCACCCGCGGCCCCCCCCCCCCCCCCCCCCGCTGTCACTGGTAACATAAAAACCCCAGGGTTGGCCCCAGTGCCAGGCCTGCACAGACCGCTCAACACATTGTATCAAAATAACTCGGAGCCCCTTTGGCAGGCTCCAGAAAGAGCGCCTCCAGGCGCAGCCGGTGACTCCTGGCCTGTAATCCTAGTTACTCAGAGGCTGAGGTCTGAGGATTGCAGTTCTAAGCCAGCCCTGCCTGTGAGACTCTTATCTCCAATTAACAAAACAACAACAAAAGGTACAGCACCAGCCTTGAGTGAAAAAACTAAGTGACAGTGCCCAGACCCTGAGTTCATACACACACACACACACACCAGAAAGACCACCACCTGCTCCCATGGAGACAGGATTTGAGGACAGGCATGTCTGCTTGAGAATACAGAAATGCCATTTTATGCAATAATTGCCACTTGTCTGCTCCAAGAAAGCAGTGGGGAAGAAGACTCTCCTCCCTCTCCAGACAGAGGGGCTAGAAGAGGTGACTTGGGATGCTGAGGAAGGAAGGGGGAGAGGGGTGTTAGCTCTGGGAGCTGGGACCTTGTCTTCCAGAAACCTCTTTCCCAGGCTGAGTTTAGTGTCCAGAGAACAGTGCCTGGCACTTAGGTGCTGCATAAAAGTGAGTTGCATGAAGAAGTGGGCTGCAGATCTGCAGGGCTGAGTGAGCTGGAGGAAGCTGGGACCTAGGCCAGCTGCCCTGGGGGCTGGAGCCAGACGTCTGTGAACTGCTTCTACTCTGGAAGCTGCCCAATGGCCGTCCTCAGAGCGCCCGCTCTGCAGGCCACACCTGAGAGTGCCAAACAGAAGGAAACTAGTTTTTCCCACAAAGCCAGTTCCAGTGGCTTCTGTGGTCCAGCCTCAAGCTGGCCAAGAACTCATTAGTGGTGAAGATTAGTGGGAGAGGTGGCTCAGAGAAAGCCGGACCCAGGGCTGACAGTGAGCTGATCGGGGAGGCCGGGACAGGCTGGAGGACAGGATTGGGATTGGGAGGACAGGAGGAGATGGTGAGAGGCACACAGCGCAGTCTAGAAGTAAGAACCCAGTGTCAAATCTAGCCTTTGCTGCTTGGGGGGGGCTTCGAAAAAACAGCCTAGCCTAGTCGGTGCCTCACTTCTCATCTGACAAATGGAGATGACAAACTAGATGCCATCGGCTCCTGCCTCTCATCCAAGCTACTCTGAAGGCTGAGGACTGGGAGGATAGCCATTTGAAATGAGCCTGGGCAGAAAAGTTTGCTAGACTCCATCTTCAATTAACCAGCAAAAATCCAGGCTGGAGGTATGACTCAAGTGGTAGAGTGCCAGCCTTAAGCAAGCAAGCAATAATATAATAATAACAGTAGTAATAGTAATAGTAGAAGTAGTAGTAGTAGCAGCAGAGACAATCAGGCATTTGCCCTGTGGTACAACCGTTCTAATCCCCACAGATGAGTGAATTCATTTTACCCCCATGGTACGTTTGGGAAAACAGAGGCATCTGGGGCTGTGTGCCTGCGCACGCCGCATGCCACCCAGATCCCAAAGTCAAATCGCAGCTGGGGGATGGGGGGGTGGAGTTCTGCCTGCAGCCAAGCCCACAGGGCCAGGACCAGCTACACATGAGTGGGGCTGGTGACAGGGCCTGCCCCCATAAAGCAACAGGAAGTACAGCACCCCTCCCCCCTCAGGTCCATTTCCTCTCTCTGGGCCCCTGCCACCTCCCTCCACAGTGACATCTGGCCCAGATCCCTGGGGTCCTTCCTGTTGCTCAGGCGGGAAGTTCTCAGATGCTTATTAGCCTGAGAGCTAATTAAGGGTGAGGGGTGAGCTCACCCAGCTGCCTGGAGCTTGCTGGGGCCCAGCTGGACCTGCCCTGTGCCACCCTGGCTGTATGCCCACTTCCCCCGGGGTGCTGGAGAGGTGGGACAAGAAGGAGCTCGCTGGGGCTGGAGAGGCCCCAGGCAGTCTCATGAGTGCCGCCTTGCAGCAGAGCCACCAAGCTGGGTGGATGTCTGTTTCTGGGGTGACCCTACAGGGTTCCAGCCCTTTCCCCCCGAAAAAAATGCTTGTGCCTGGACACAGGAGTTCTTGGAGGGTGCTGTGGGGGCCACTGGTGAGTTCCGCTGGAGCACAGAGAGGGTGTTGCCTGGCTGTGAGACACATAGCCATTCTCTTTCAGGGGGAAACAGCCTTGTTTGCTGTTAAGATGGCTGGCTCAGCCCCTACAACCAGGACAAGGCTGACTTCAGCTGAGTCTTGGGCAGTCTAGGCTCATGAGTTGGAATGTTGTTTTCTGTGTATTTATGTTGCAGTTGGTTTCTTTTTCGAAGTACTAGGATTTGAATTCAGGGCCTCGTTCTTGATAGGCAGGCAGGCACTCCGCCACTGAACCACGCACCCAATCATCTTCTCTTTTTTATGGAGGGGCAGGTCTCATGTTTTTGCCCTGGGACTATGATTTTTCTACCGTTGGAATCTCTGAGATTACAGCAATTACTATGTCTAGCCTCAGTTTCTGTCTTTTACTTTTTTTGTCTGTCATGAGGCTTCAACTAGGGGCCCGGGTGCTGTCCCTGAGCTCTTTTGCTCAAGGCTAGTGCTCTACCACTTGAGCCACAGCTCAAGTTCGGTTTTTCCTGTGAATGTGGTACTGAAGAATCCAACCCAGGGCTTCATGCATGCAAGGCAAGCACTCTACCACTGAGTCACCTTCCCAGCCCACACATTTCTTTTAATACTCAGTTCTATTTAGGTGCTGAGCATGGTGCTGCATGCTTGGAATCTCAGCATTCAGGAGGCAGATGAATTTCTAAACATTTTTATCAATTCATAAAATTCAATGAAGAAAGAAAAGGCTGCAGGGGGAGAATCCTATTCTCTCAGGGACTCCATAGGTGAGGTCCCAGAAGCACCTGGGGTAAGGCTATGGAAATGCAGGTTCCTGGGCCCATCTGAATGTCCTGGCTCAGAAACTCAGGGTTTCTCTTTAGTTTAATTTTGCTTTGCCTGGGCTGGAACCCAGAGCCTGGAGTGCCTGCTATGCACATGCTCAGCCACAGGCTCCGCCCCCAGCTTTCTGGTGAGTGGGTTACACACTCCACACCTTTTGGCTCACCCTCTCCTCCTCCTACCCTCAGGCTGAGTTTCTACATTTGAGCTGCCATATTGGAGTGGCTTCTACCAAGTGAGTTGGAAGGTATCCTCAGCCCACAGCAGAGCACATGGCCCTGATGGGCAGACATCTCAATTGCCACCTTGGGGTCCCTGAAGCTGATGAAGTCTCACCCCAGTTCCTGCCACACACAACAGGTAAGCTCATAAATTCATGTCCTTGGAAGCTGGGAAGGTGGGAAAATTTGTAGCAATTTGTTGCATAGCAAGTACATGACTATGTTGGATGCTGGTGGGGGGTATGTGCAGCTGGAATAATTTAGAGGCTATGGAGTAGGCCTGCTTTCCATGCTGATTTGAATATATTCACTGGTTTGGTTTGGTTTTTGATTTGGACATTGGCTACAGAGTTACACGAAGAGGTTTGGTTATTTTCTTTGGTGTGATGATGGTGGTGTTGTGGTTCGGCTCTGCCATCTCCCTCCAATAACTTTTTAGAGAAGCATATTAATTATTTACAGCTGGTGTGGTGTGCACTTGGGGATTTGCTTCAAAATAATCTGGGTAGGAGGGGGATGTGTGAAGTAAAATGATCAGCCATAAATTGTTGGCAGCTGGTGGCATGCGTGCTTCTGTGTGTGTTCAAAATATTCTGTTTGCAAATAGTGTGTGTGTGTGTGTGTGTGTGTGTGCTAGTATTGGGACTTGAACTCACTGTTTTCTGATCTTCACCTTTTTCACTCGAAGCTGGAGCTCTACTGCTTGAGCCACAGCTCCATTCCTGGTTTTTTGCCGGTTAATTGGAGACTGAAATTCTCCCTGACTTTGCTGCCTGGGCTAGCTTTGAACCTCCACTTTCATATTGCTAGGGTTACACCCAGGCATGAGCCACTAGTGCCCGGCTGGTATTTTGTTGTTGAGATAAGGTTTTACTACTCTTGTCGGAGCTGGCCTGGAATTCACAATCCTCTTGCCTCCCACTTCTGAGTAGCTAGGCTGACACTCGTGGCAAGAAGCTTTTGTCTTGCTACATTAAGTCGTCTCCGTGGGTGTGCTTTTTGTGTGTGTTATTTTAGCTCTTTCTTTTTCAAGGAACATCCTTACTCATAGTGAAATCAAAGGGAGGAGCACAGAAAGCCCTTCTCCCTCCCGCTTGTCCTTCAGTCATTCCTCCCAAATAGCAAGCTAGTTACTTTAGTTTTACTGATTTGTTTTTGGCAACAGGAGCTTGCTAGGTAACCCGGACTGGTCTCCTCCAGCAGGGCCCAGCTCAGGCAGCCTTGCCCCA